CTCATGAGTTGTGTCTGCAAACTCTTTGAACGTATGGTTAACGTTCGTCTGATGTGGTTTTTGGAACACCATCACCACCTCTCCCCTTCTCAATTTAGTTTCCGCAAGTGCCGCAGCACAACAGATGTCCTGGTGAACTTTGAGGTCTATATTCGTACTGCTTTTGCTGCGAAGACCTCCGTTGTTGCCATCCTTTTTGACCTGGAAAAGGCTTACGACACCACATGGCGATATATTCTGTCCCAACTTCATTCTTTTGGCCTTTGTGGTAATCTCCCTCTCTTTCTCCAAAGCTTCCTCTCTCGTTGTTCCTTGCGGGTGAGGCTTGATACCACTTTCTTCCTCTTTTCAGCAATACCAAAGTGTGCCCAAGGTGGTGTTCTGAGTACTACTCTTTCTGGTTGCCCTCAATAGTCTTCTTTCCTCTCTTTCTTCTGGCGTCTTCTCCACTCTCTATGTCGACGATCTTACCCTTTGCTGTCGGGGTGATGATTCGCCTCTCCTTCAATGGCAGCTTCAACTTGCGATTGATGCCGTGTCGTCTTGGGCCGCTGATCATAGCTTCAGGTTCTCTACGTCTAAGACTTGTGCTATGACTTTTACTCGGAATCGAAGTTCTTCGTCTTTCTTTGTCGCCCCATTGTGTACTAGGATTCCGGTAAGCTTTTGGGGTTGATTTTTTATACTCGTTTGTCTTGGTCACCCCATATCTCTTACATCCGAGTTGAATGCTCTAAGGCCCTTACTCTCCTTCAGGTGTTGTCCCATACTTCTTGGGGAGCAGATAGGCGCACTCTCCTCTCTTGTCCTGTCTAAACTCGATTATGGTTGCCCTGCTTACTCATCTACTTCTCCTTCTACTCTTCGCCGTCTTGATGCTTTGCACCATACTGGGTTGCGCCTCAGCCTTTCGTTCGACTCCCATCCTCAGCTTGTTTGTTGACACTGGCTTCCTATCTCTCCAGGACTGCTGTGATGACTACCGTTTTCGCTATTTTGCACGGTCCTTGCAACATCCTTCCTCTCGCCTCTGTCGTGCTTTAACTTTTACCCCTCCTGTAGTTCCTGTTCCTCGTCACCACTTCCCTCTTTCTGTCCGGTTATCTCGCTTACAGGATTCTTTCTGTTCGTATTTCTAATATTTCTCGTGTTGTTCCTTCTTTACCGCCGTGGAGGGTCCCCCTTCCGCAGTTTTGTACATCCTTAACCCGCATCACTAAAGCTTTTACCATTCCTACGGTTCTGAAACGCCTTTTCCTTGAGCACTTTTCTTCACACTCCCGCTCCATTTCCATCTTCACCGATGGGTCTAAGTCTGCGGATGGTGTAGGCTACTCTGTTGTTTTTCCTGACAGCACTTACATGTGTCGCTTACCTCCGGAGACTAGCATCTTCACAGTGGAACTTTATGATATTCTCTATGCTCTTCATCTCCTGCTTCTCGTTGTCAATCTTCCTTTGTGGTTGTCGTCGACTTTCGTAGTGCCCTCATGGCTCTCAGGTCCTTTAATCCGGTTAATCCAGTGGTTGTTGAGATACAGCACTGGCTGTTTCTTATTCACAGTAAATTTAAGTCAGTTGAGTTTTGCTGGGTTCCCAGCCATATTGGTGTCTCTTTAAAAGAGCGTGCGGATGCTGCCGCTAGGGAAGCTGTCCGCTCTCGTCCCATTTCTCGTAAAGGTATTCCTTATTCTGACATTTACCCAGATATTCATTCCTCCATCCTTACCCGTTGGCAGGCTTGTTGGTCTTCTGTTACCGGTAACAAACTGCGTACTCTTAAGGGTTGTGTGTCCTCCTGGCCGTCCTCCTACCACCGTAACCGGTGATGGGAAACGGCTCTGTTGAGGTTGCGTATTGGCCATACTGGCTTAACTCATGGTCACTTAATGGAGCGCCGCCCTGCTCCTTATTGTCCTAATTGCATTGTCCCTCTTACGGTCGTGCATATCCTTGTTGAATGTCCTGACTTCCGGGATGAGCGTGTGTCTTGTTTTCTGACCGTTCCCCGCGGTCGCTTGTCCCTCGATAGAATTCTTGGTGAATCAGATACTTTTGATATCGTTCGCTTTATGCGTTTCTGTTCTCGTATTGACATCCTTGGTGATATTTAGCACCCTCTGATTATTCCGCGCATTTGATGGTGCTACATAGCCTTCCAGGTTTGGTGCCTTCTTTTGATAATTACTTTCCTCGTTGTTGAACTTTAGTTTCTGAGAATGTTGTGCTCTCCTTTCTTTTTTGGCTTCTTGATTTGCATCGCATGTCAAATACTGTTGCCTCGTATTGTGTGGCACTGGTGGAGACACTGCCACTTGCATTTGGGATTAATACTACCTTAGCATTATTTCACCTCTAGCCTGCTCATGCACTGCTTGAGCCTGCTTGGTCTCTGGACCATGTTCTTACTTTTCTCTCTTCTGCTCGATTTATGGTGTCCGCTTCAATCCTTAAGTGTTTCCTTAAATCTTTGTTTTTGGTTTTCCTTGATTCTGATTGTTAGGTGGGAAAACTTCATGCTCTCCTCTGGAATCAGGGGTTTTGTTTTGTGTTTAGTTTTTGACCCTGTTATCAGGGTCCCCGGTGTACAGTATCTTCGCTTGCAGCCAGCTCCTTTTCCGGCGAAGAATGAGTTGGTTAACTTCTGAAGGGGTCTTTTGGTCATTGATACTTGGTTGGTTCAGTCGAAGATGCATCATGTCCGGTGGTAGATTTCTGCTGCTACTTTCATGCCACCAAATCTTCCTCGGTGGATGTCTTGCGAGTTGATCCTGGCACCTTGGCACCCCCCCTGTTCCAAGACATGTCTTCTCAGATCATCTGCAGTGTTATTAAATTTAGCTACCCTGCTGTCTATCATAATGCCCATGATATTCGTAAGTATGCCACTCGGGCAGTGGTGTTTGCAAACATGTCCTGGGCTGATATTTGAGTGTTGGGGTTTTGGAGGTTGAACAGGGTTCTGGCAGCCTAGTATCTTGTTAATGTTCCCCTGGCCCTGGTGCTCTTGTGTGGCCCTGGGTCGTGTCTCTCAGGCACGAAACACAACTTGCTTACATAGTTGTGTTTCATCTTTGTCTTGATTCTATGGTGCCTCCTCCTCCTTTGTAAGTTCCTCATATGTCTGTCTTTTCAGTGGGTAATTAGCTTCAGAAACCCACAAAGGGCTACACACAGAAAACCAGTGTTGAACGCCAATTTCTGGGCGAGCTCAGGCGGCTTGCCAAGAAATGACGAGGCACCTGTCTAGAATCGAGTGTTGAGATGCCGGCTAATGGTGAGCTGCCTACCACCCCCAAATGAGTGGAGTGGAAGGTGGGGTGAATGAGCTTGCGCTAGCTTCATGAGATTTTAACGTTTGCTTACATAGCTGGGGAGTTCTTTTGGCAGCTTTCGAGGCTGCAGTCTCTAAACAAATCACTGCATGCTGGCTTCAATACTCACTGACTTCCTGGATGCCTTATCTGGTGGTGGCATAATAAATTTCACTGCTCCCTGTACCTCTGTGAGAGAGGGACAGGTTCTGGCACTCCATCCACAACAGTCTACTAGTAAACTCCCAGGCACTGCACTTGTTACTATGTGCTTCAAGGCACCAAGCATAAATAAATGTCTTTACCTGCCCTAGTTAAACCCAGAACCATTTGGTTATGAGCCAACCGCACTACAACTCGTCTATCAACACGTACAATAAAATTTGATAATACTTGTGCACAGTAATTTAAATTAAAGAATATAATGCAGTTACAATAACAACTATTTTTTTAAGAGTTTATTTACATAAAATGTTTACAGGTAGTAGGAGTGAATATTTTATTTCAACAACTATTTTGAACTTTGTATAATGTTTAAACTAAATACACAAGTAAATACTCTAGCATGGTATTCTCTAATATTTTTCACATGGGGTTGATGAATAAATAAAAATATTTAAGAAAATAGGCTTTGTAATTACTGTGTATTTCATTGTGATAGCAATAAATCACTTTAAGTTAGTAATGGTGAATATAGTCCACATGTGATTTCTCAAACTGTATAATAATTTTCAATACTGTATATTAATTAATAAACTAAAGAAACACTATATCCTCCCGAGATTCTAATTCATTTGCATGAAAATAGATTTGCAGATTCATTAGTTTAAAGTAAATGTTTGCAATTAAACAAATAAAACTGTTTACTGTAATTTGATTATCAGTATTAAAATATTTAACCAGTCAAATATGAATATGAGAAGGATGAGAAGTAATTACCAAAAGGTGCCATAGGAGGATGAGAAACATGTTGGAGAATTAACATGGAACAAAATAAGAATAGAGACTGGAGAAGGTAATGAATTTATAAAAATGTAATCAAAGCAAGGTATAATATATATTGCAGTTGCACATTTGACATACTATATATTATCATGAGTAATCACTGGAGGTACTGTCTGCTGAAGTAGTGACTATGCAATTTGGAAATGGTAAAATATAATCAAGGATGCAAGATGGTACAATTGTTTACGTAATGAGGTAGAAGGGATAGGCAAAGGCCTTTGCCCTATTCAGCGATCTCAGGTTGATAAGGGAAGAGAAAGGAGGGAGGGCGGGGGGCATGAACTTGCTCTTTATCTGGTTGCTTTAATTTTATAGCTAATAAATTATAGAGAAAATGTAAATGTTTATACTCTTCATTTACTCTGTGGTGGCCATCACAAAAAGTATGTGTATTACGCCAGTTGAAGTGTCTATGTAAATGCTGAACATTGTAAAAACAAAACATGTATATGCAAAACATTATTATTTTCACACTTAAAACATCTTAAATAATAAAGATGATTTCTACACTATAGTGAAAGACTGACACAAACCTACCTTCACCGCTATCACAACCAACCCAACACACACACACCAAAAATGATAGTACCTATAGCTACTACAGATGGAATGTACATAAAGCTGAACTTGTGCCTCCCAATAATTTATTTTTTGTACTATTGGAATGCTACAAAAGGCATATATATAAAAAAAAAAAAAAGTGGAATAACTATAAACCTATCCTAGACTTTAACAAGCAATCTTAGGCCTAGTTTTGTACATCAAGTGCAAATCTACTGGGCCTAGACGTGTTTAGATTTGGTTGTTTCCGCTTTCTCATGCCCTCTACAAAATTAATAGTACAAAAGTTATCTTTTTTTTTAAATGCAACAGTTCATATTTTGTACTTGCATCCATAGTGATAATGCATACTATTATTTTTGGATGACGGATTGCAATTTTACCTGACAAACAGGAAGCTCTCATCTCAACTAGTGGCAAGATTCAATATAACAAATGTGATAATCACAGTGAATTTTATGGATTCTTTAAACAAAACTGAAACAAATATATACAGTTAACACTAGATGATTAATTGTAAACACTCAAGATTTGTACCCTTTCAACAGTTGGACAAAGCCAGAATATGGGTACAGGTATCAGTAGGTGAACTTGAATATAATGCTAACCATTGCACAAACAAGATTTTTAAATAATTAATTTAGAAATGTCTTATGAGATGGACAGCAAAGAATATTTACTCTGCAGTAAATCTACCTCTTTTCATAATTATTTACCTTTACAACACTGAATAAATAAAAGTCACTAGTCTTGTTCCCAAGACTAAAGTAATAAATACTCCATTTGGTGAAATAAAACCATTACAATTTTAAGATCTAAAATAATTTGAGCAAGAAAAAGGAGAAAGATAGGTTTCAAGTAGTCAATCCTCTACATGCAAAATTGACTATACGTAAGATTGGCTTTTAACACCAAAAATTGACTATACACAAGAATTATAACACCAACATTCACTATACATGATGCATCATTCACCAAGTAAGTTCACCAAGTTGACATGAGTTTCATGTTTTTTTCCCTTATTATTAAATTTTTTTGTCATGATACCTTGCAAACATTGTGCAATGACAGCTATACACTCCAAGATAAAAGCACAAACTACATTATGCTTCATAAATGTTTTTTTATTTTCATTTACATCTTTGGTGAATGTACAAAGAAAGTAGACGCTAGAGGTCTCCAATGCATCACTATTTTCCCAATACAACTTTACGTTCATTCTGTGTGTTCATTTTGTTTATGTTGAGGTTGCCTCAGAATGCATAACTCGCATATAGATATACAGTAATACTGTTACTTCACAGACTGGTGTGTTGGTATGTATGGCAGAGACTCTTGCATAACACATGCCATTCAAGTGTATAAACAATTTATAATAATACAGTACACTGCTGCCTGCTTAATGCTGCACTAGGCTCTGGTGGAGAAACCTTAACAAAGATACTACCAAAACATGGCTTTAACAGATTTATACAAAGATCACCAGTATATATCAAGTCTAGCTCTGAGTTTAGTCAATTCGCCTATAAGTGTTCTCAATTTATATATCTCAAATAACGGTTTAAGAACTAACTAGCAAAGGTGCCAAGCCCAGGAAACTATATATTCTTGCACCGTCTTGCAGAATATTAAAAAAGTCTTGAGATATCGTTCAGGATGCCAATATATGTATGCTTTTATGACTTACGAATATTAGCAAGATACAATACTCAACATCACTATGCAAATATTATACATAGCAGTTCAACTTTACATTGCATAATGGAATGGTAAATAGTCTTTATTCAGCAATACCAAACATTACTTAATTTCCACAATTGCTATTTACTACCAATGTTATTCTTTTTATTATAAATGGTACAGCACTTTCAAATATAAATATTTTACACAACAAACTAACAAAAACCACTCGCCTTAAGATATCATTCAAATTCAATTGCACCATCACTCTCCTCTTTCATAATTAGTAGTAAAAAAACATCAATACCTACCAGATTTAACAGTCCTTTATACAATGGACAGTTATTACATTACAGTATTCTCTCTCTTTCTCTCTACTCACTTCTATTATGGCACAAGTGTACTGGAGTGCACTATAAAGCCAAACATCCAGTTATGACTTGCAGACGTTACGTTCAAAACGTTCTCTTAAGTTAAATTGTCACTTTCCCTCTCCAATCACATATAAAGCTGGGTTAACCATACAATTATGTTTTCCTCCAAAGTAATTGCCAAGTCCAAAATAAGAGGAAAGCATTACTTTATAATCACGCTATTTTTAATTTTCTTGGGGTGGAAAAATATCAGCGCAATGTTCAAAATGACTGAAATAAGTTTGCTGTCATTATCTCAGAAATGTAAATGCGTTGTTTATTTATTCCACACATAAAAGTAGTCACTTCAACCTAAAGTTTTTTCTGCTTCAGATAACAATTTCCATGAAAACCAAATCACTAGTTGCAAACAATTTTGAGTGAAAATCTGTGATGCAAAATTTTAAAAGTACAGTAGTTCTATCCAAATGACAAAATGAAAGAAACAAATTCTAGGGAAATAAATTACTAGTAATTCTATGTTAACTTAGCAGAAATTTCATAACTGAATGCTTTATTATGAGAGAATTAAGGAGTGTGGCCCAGTGGTTGAATCAATGCCACAACTAAATTATACTGTCAGCCTTCTGGAATGGACACTTTAAGACCAGCCTGTCAATTCCTAATACTGGTGAGAAACTTGCCATATCTGCAGATGACACTAATTCTAGAATATTATAAATACTGCACGACACTGCTCCCAATTAGTTACAATATTCTACAAATCCATCTTCATAACAATCAGTAACATGCACACAATTTGCAGAAGTAAGGTAGGGCTGGCCTGCTGATATCTGCCAATACATACCATTAATATTCCCATAATTTTTATTGCATAATCTTCTCAAAAGTTTAAGTTTCTCGTTTCAGATATAAGTAACCAAATCAGTTGTGTAATATTCTCTGGTCAACATTTTAAAATATCAAAGAAAGATTCTGCAAATGGCCTTCCCTTTGAAGATGGCAATATGCCAGAGGAAACAAAGTTTCAAAATAGAAAAATTTATAAAGCATCTTCAAATATATACTACATAATTATTGTACACACTGAAAACAATTTGAGTCTGGATACCAACACAGCCTGGACTATCACATGCAGACAAGATATCCCACATCAAGACTTCAGGCCTTTACTAATGCTTCTCACCCACTTACTACCGAGTCACGAAATGTGACAACTATTGGGTAGTAAATCTCCGACAGATGCGTGCTCACACCCCATATATTTTGTATGATTTATATGAAAATAAATACAAATATCTACAAATAATATATAGTCGTCTAAATTAACTTGCCCATTTAGTGATGCTTAACTTTCTTCTATAATGGCAAGTTTTATAATTCAAAACAACTTTATTACTTTTGTCATAATGCTAAATATGAAATTTCTATATATATAAAAAAAGTATACATCTGTCATTTAAATGTATACAAGACAGATAAACCTTCCCTATCATTTTTCAGTTAAAGACTGCAGCAAGTACAATTATTGTACATACTAATTTTACACAAGATCTATAAAAATTAATAAGTAATATTTTACTAAAAATATTATAGAATATTTTTGATTTAGCCAATTACACGAGTGTTTATGTAATGAATGCAAAGGTTCACATTACTTACATATTGGACTTTCTAAAAACAATTACAAATATTTTTTCTTCATTGTTACAAAATTACCTAAGATGGCTTATGATGCCTTTTAAGTTAAATAAAATGTCAGGATCTCTGATTATCAAATACTTCAAAAAACGAAAAGATTTTATATGGGCAGTCCTCAATTTGCATGGTACTGGAAATGTACATTTGGTGGTTTGCAGGTTAGCAATTTATTGCCAAGTTTCAAAGTGTGAAGGGTGAATTTGAACAGTACTGTATGTGCATTGAGTGTGTGAACTAACACAGCTTTACACAGACTTTGCAAGTGTGCTGCCTTCTCAACAGTGTGTTGAGCTCCTATACATGCTCCAGTCTTGTGTTTTATGAACTTTTTGGATTATATTGATGCATCATTCCACCCAAGTATTTTGGACATTATTATGTGCTATTTACTGTATATTTATTGCTGGAAATGAGGGGGGAATATTAAATATTAGTATTTATATAAGTAGATGTTTTATTGGGTAAAGCATGAATATTGGATAACTCTAGAGCAAAATTGTATTTTTCCTATATACTTACTGTATTGTACCTTTTAAGTTGGATTTAGTCAGCATTTTATTTACATGAAAGTAATATCTGCACAAATTGAGGGACTGCCTGTGTTATATGGTATTAAAATTTTATCATGATTACAAACTAATAATACAAAACCAGATTTCTATATACTTTTTTCATTCTACAAACCAAATTAACTACAGAGGCTATCTCAAGTTTGCAAACTGAAAAATTATGGAGTTACTTAAGCATTTGTATCACTAACCAGGGCAATTGATTAACCGGTGTTTGGGTAATTTTTGTGTGTAATGTGAGGAGTGACAACACAATGTAATCAATTCCTACGTCTTTTATTTTGTGAAGGAGTGTGTGCTGGAGAAGACGGCTTAGAATCCCGTCCCCTTTTTCCTGGCCGTCTTGGGGCATCGTCTTCTTCGTCTCGCAGTTCGCGCGCACGTTCACGCTTCACTCCTATCAGTAAATAACTAAGAATAAGGCAATGCAGACAAAGAGTTTCAAATTATGTCAAATCTAAAATTGTTACAATTCAATGACAGAGGCAAATTTTTAAGCAATACTGGGAAATATAGCTTATCTCACATCATGCAACTAAACAATATTACAAATATGTAATGCACATGACAGTTGCAGTCACTTTGCATACACTGTGTCTAGATACTGTACACTGTCTTAAATGAAAATGGATGAGATTGCCAACATGTAGAAATGCATCAAGATCCAAGTGGAGCACACTTTATGGGGTTTTAACCAAATGTAGGTCTAGAGCTGAGAAACATGAGTGGTTACATCATACTCACTATACTCTCCTCCCATACTGGTGTTTTCTATTTGATAGATGATTATTACTATATTCTATTGATAGATGACTATTAAGGTAGGCATGAAGAAGTTACTATACCAAAATCAGATACTATAATCACAGCATTAAGGGGATTATATGACAATATAAAATGTTTAGTTCTGAAATAATTTTGTAGAAACTATATTAAGAGTAAAACCGATGCCCCATAGTTCTTAAAATTTTCATTGCAGGCAATTAAATGTGCCTGTTACTTCCACATAACTTATCCCTTAAGAATTCCACATTCCAAGAAGTTCTACACTAATGCTGTGTGTTATTGATACTTCTTTCAATAGTTCTAGGAATCATTTGAGAAAGCTGACAGGTACAGTAACAAGCATGATGATGGTCAATTTGGCTAGTTAGGTGAAGCATGGAATATAAGCCATTAAAGTACAGATCGTCATTAGTCTAACTCCAATGGTGATTCAGTGACAGACGCTGTAGATATACCACAGATCTTCAACACTATCAACATTCATCAGTGTGCATCATAAACTGACCAGTTGATGATGCACTGACCGACACGTGTCAAAACATTGCTCTATATATATTTTGTTACTGTGTTTATTGTCACCATAACTAGTGTAACAATAAAACGTTATATTGGTGACTCAGCGAGTGACCAGTCTCAACAACAGGCAACTAGAACTGTCATGATCTTCACCACCAGGCTTCTGGTATACAATGTGGATGAAGCAGAATTAGGGTTCATAAAGACGGAGCTATTTTCGACTACCATGACAAAGCCTGACATACCTGTACCCTACCAACACTTCCAATGGAGGCTATGCATGCCGCCACCTCTATTGTCAACACCTCATCAGCAGACACCAATACATATACTACACTAAAGGCTGCCCTCCTACAGGCAGCAATGAAACACCTCATTAAACAATGGGGACCTTACTGGCAGGAGCTTAGCAGACATAATACCAGCCCAGCTTCTGCAGCATATTCACTATGTAATGCATACTGAATTGGGCCCAGCCCCAGTGAGATTGTACGATTGCTCTGGATTGCTCTGGATTCAGCTCTGTGCAAAACATATTCAACCTGCCCCATTCAGTATGGATGATGACACTCCACTGGTGTGGTTGGCTATACTGGCTGACTGGCTGTATACAACATCTAATAACATTATGATGTCCCACCTCGGTAATACACAGCAGACTGCAGACACTCAACAACTCAACATCCACCAGAGCTGCCATCCAGGAAAAAACATGCCACATAAACATAATATACCAGTCCCTGGCAACCGCAAGGACACCGAGGGGAGCTTTGTCTTTACCACCAGATGTTTGGACACCAAGCCCACAACTGTAAGGCACCATGTTCCTGGTCAGGAAACTATTCCGGCGGGGACTGTTAATGGCCAGTAATTCCACCACTTCAAACACTACACTACTTTGCATATCTGACGTCAAAACCAAACACCATTTTCTTGTTGACATGGGTGCAGCAGTTGGCGTATTGCCTCCCTCCTTACCTCCGTGCGATCAAACCAACCTGCACTCCTAGTTTGGACTTACATGCCATCAAGGGTAAGTATCCACCCGAAGCTCAACCCCCACAAGCACAACTAGGCGAGTATAGCATAATGCTGTAATTATCTCTAGTATTTTTTATTATTTATAAAGCTACTATGTTTTATTGCATATCAAAGTACTGTACCATATGCACATACTCTATGAATTTAATATAATTTTAATAAAGAATAACATATTTTAAGGGCCGGAATATTGCTTGAAATATTGTTGTCATTTCAACAACTGTGGATTTAGTGATGCCCCGCATTTAACAATCTGGATACAGACTCATATAGGCCATTAAATCGAGTGGATTTTGTACGTCTGGCTGTACGTTTGAGACCTGCACCCTGATTCTCAATTTTGCTTCTCTGGGTCGCTTTCCATGGACCTTCCTCTTTGCGGGTGTTGAAGAACCTATTCTCAGATTGGATTTCCTGCAACATCATTGGCTCATCATGCATCCTGCAGATGCAATACTTCGAGCCACTCCTAGAACCTCTATACAGATAACCAGCATCACTTAATTCGCATCTACGGAACTTCAAGGACTTCTGGATGAATTCAAAGATGTGACTCGACCCGCCAGCCCTTGACTGGAAGTACAATATACTACTAATCATATTAGTACTGTACAATGGGATCACCTACCTTCGCTAGACCCAGGAGGGAGGGAATTATCAGGGGAAAGTGCCAAGCCATTACAACTATACAGCACTTGGCAGGGATCAGGATAAGGATTTGGGATGGGATGTGGAAAAGAAATGGTACCTAACCACTTGGAGGGTTGAGGATTGAATGCGAACCTGCATAAAACGATACCGTCGCTCTACCGTCCAGCTCAAGTGGTTGGGCCACCTGGCCCAGGAATGATTGGCAGTATTGTCTGCCCTGATTTTGACAAGCTACAGAAGGCAGGAATAGTCCATGGGCTTCACCTCACCATATGGTTCCAAAAACAGCCCCAGGGGCATCCTTGCAGAGATTACAGGGCTTTCAACATTCGTACTCTTCCGAATCGCTATCCAACACCACACATCCAGGATTTCTTCCAGGAAATGCATGGAAATGCATGCAAAAATGCAACCATTTCTTGTAAATTTACCTGGTGCTGGAATTTTACCAGATCCCAGTGGAACCAGCAGACATACCGAAAATGGCGATCGTAACACCATTTGGCCTATTTGAATTCGTCCAGATGCCAGTTGGTGTACATAATGCTGGCCAGACCATCCAATGTTTCATCGACCAAGTGTTATCCTTCAAATTCCAGGACGGAGGGAATATAGCCAATCCTGTGGCCAGTGGGCACACGACATCATTCCTCAGTGCAGCGCAAGCCTCTTTCAAGTCGGCCACTTGTACCACACAGACCTAGATCAGAGCAGGATCTCAGGACCCTGGTGTGCTGGATATATATTCTATTACCACAACCATTAAAGTCCAAGAAGTCAGACTGTGTATCTCTTCAGACCCAAGCAAGATCCAATCAATAACCGAATAACAAGCGTGAATACAAGTAATTAAAGATCTTCCCCTTTGCTACACCTACAGTGACGATCTTCTGGTGTCCAGTAAATCATCGACTGAACATCTGCTACACCTCCGACTCCTTCTTACCTGCCTGTGCAACTTTAGCTTACAGTTTAAACTCTGAGAAGTGCATTTTCAACGATCCAGGGCTGGATTTCTTGGGACATTGTGTATCAGAAGCAGAGATCCAACCACTAGAGAAGAAAATTAAAGCAATCAAGGAATTCCTGCACCCATCCACTCCAAAGAAATTACAAGAATTTCTTAGAGTGGTGGACTTTTATTGCCGATTCATCCCATATTGCTCAGACATCTTACAACACTTATATGATCTCTTATGGGGGTTGGAAAAACACATCCCCGCTCCCACTGGAATGGACTCCACAAGTAGAGACAGCATTCACTGACATAAAATGCAAGCTTGCGGAATTCACTTTGCTTGCACACCCAATGTCTGATGCTTTTATCACACATATTCTAAAGTAACTCTCATGATGCTAAAAGAAATTGATTGATTAGATTTTAAATAAAAAATATGAGAAAATATGAAGAGCTTTCAGTCAGCACTCTCTACCAGTGAGACCACATGGACCTCAATTACGGCTATGTTTAGAAATGGTGGCATTTTGTACAACATTGTTAAATGTCTTTAGGTAACATTTAATAATATGGATAAGAAACTATTCTCTATTAACCACCAAGCAAAGCTTATCTGGTTGTTTAGTCTCCAACTTATGAACCTCTTTTCAACAACCGAATTATATATCAGAGCCAGACAAGGATCTAACAGTACAGTATTTTAAATTTGAATTCCCCATATTTTGGCTTAGTTTTAATTTCTTAAATATTTTACTAAGCTAAAATATTTATTGATTTGTTAGTATTTCTTGGCAAATCCGTTTTGATTATCATCTAAACATTTTAGCATGACAGTACTGTACTCTAAAATGTTTACAATGAGGACCAATGTTACTTCTTCAAATGTGTGCAAGTTATGTCAAATACTGAAAGTAATTCATTCACCTTCATCCTTATATTCCAACTTGTCCCCGGGGTCTTTCTTTGGTGGTCGTCCTCGAGCTCTAATTTCCTTTTCCTCTCTTTCTTTGGTTTCTTCTTTTAATTCAGGTTTACTTCGTTCATCAAGCAGATCAGAAAAGTCTACTTCCGGTAAATTAAATTCGTTTTCATCGTTTGGGAATGGTAGCTTGTCAGATTCATCCTGAAAGAAGTCCACAGGGCTATACAGTACAGTTTATTGAAAGAAAGCAGATAAATAAGGTTCAGAATAAGAAAAGTACCATTCTGAACAGAATCATTCAACTGCTCCCTAAAATAAAATTTATTGTATCTGCATGGCAGGTTCATGCAGTCTGGTAGCCATACTTTATACCACTGGTACAGGGAATTTGTAGAACAGTCCTTGTAGGGTGCGATGAAGGATAGGAGAAAAATTAAATCTATCCCTGAATGACTGACATTCTTAAAAATCATAGCTCCTCTGAACCATACCTTGACATCCGAGAATAACTCCAAAGGAAAGCTCTCGCTGATTACCATCTGGCCTGCCAGGTCACCTATGTTGACTGCCACCAGACATGAGAACCACACCCCACTTTGAGTTTCTTGACCCCAATCACCCTAGATACTTTACTTCACTATGCAGTGCAGTGATTTTGTGCACAGAAAAAGTGCAGTAGCATGACTACTTTCAATTTGTGCAAAATTAGAAAACAGATTCAATTGTTTGAAGGTAAGCCCATTTCATTTATATCCACCTAAAAAATGTGTAGGTTAACCTTGACAGTACACGAGTTTTAGGATGGAGTATCGAATGACTCAAAGGTCATTCACATACTTAGATGTGTGTTCGGTCTCACACACAAATACCATATAATTTCTGGTCTTCATAATACAAGGTGTCTCAGACTATCTATTTCTACAAAATTGGACTAATTTTTTAAAAATGCATATTCACTAATGTTTATCATGTTTAAAATGTGTTATAAATGTAAAAATTTCAAAATTATTTCATCACTTTTTCAGAACCCTAAGATTGAATACACAAGAAAGCACCTTTGTTGTGACATCCTGTATCAAAGGATTGCAATATAATGAAATCATAGAAAGATTTACAAGGAAATTTCACAGATTTGGTCCTATAGACAAAGTGATACGTGAACTTGTGAACAAATCTAAAAGAACTAGATCTGTTCAAAATGTGTTTCACAACACTAAGGCAGACTTGAATTATGCAGGGATTCAGATGGAGCACAAGTTCAAAGTTCTCAATAAAGATTTGATTTATGATTTATAAATCTACATGTTTTTGTATCAAAATTAGGTAACAGCATGAAATTATGTAGGTTTTAACAGATTCATCTGATTTCATAGAAACAGATAGCTAATTATGGGACACCCTATATATAAGTATATTGTACTTGTGGCTTGAAAGAAGAGGGAACATTAAGTAATAATCTTCAAATACTGTATGTACTACATGTATTGAATAACCATATTATCGATAATGAGTGAACTTTTGGAATTCCTTTGGAATATAAATTTATTTTTCCCATACAGCATACCTTGAAGTATGATTTGCACTGTTTACTTTAATGGGGGTGAAACAAATGCTCATGAATGTCGAAGAAATTGCAAAATGACAAGGATGGTAAATTCTAGTCATTAAGACGAGATCTTTAAATAGGAAACAAGAGAACCTGAAAATGAACCTTGATGATGCAAAACATTTAAATGAAGGTAGTAATGAAAATTTAATTCTTTTTTCTACAAGGTGACAGGGATTGCAAACCATGTAAAATGGTATGCAAAAGCAAACCAACAAAATTGACAGAGATAAAGGGAGTGTAGGGCAAAGGAGGCAGAACCTGTTCCTGAAAATTGTGTATACTAACAATGATGGGGCAAGGACAAAATTACTGGAATTAAATTATGTAATACATAAGAACATAAGAACAAAGGTAATTGCACAAGGCCTATTGGCCCATACGAGGCAGCTCCTATTTATAACCACCCAATCCCACTCATATACATGTCCAACCCACGTTTGAAACAATCGAGGGACCTCACCTCCACCACGTTATGCAGTACAGTAATTGGTTCCAGAAATCAACAACCCTGTTACCGAACCAGTATTTACCCATGTCTTTCCTAAAATCTAAACTTATCCAATTTATACTCATTGTTTCATATTCTGTCTTGTGTTGATACTTTTAATACCCTATAAATATACCCTTTGTTAAGTCCATTTATTCACTTGTTAGCCTCTATCTTGTCACTCCTAACTCTTTGCTTTTCTGGTGAATGCATTTTAAGCTTTGCTAATCTTTCTTCATGACAGGTTTCTAATTTGGGGGAATTAACTTTGTCATCCTACGCTGGACACGTTCAAGTTAATTTATACTCATTCTATAGTACGATGACCAAAATTGAACTGCATAATCTAAATGGGATCTAACCAGAGCAAGATATAGCCAAAGAACACCAGGTGTCTTGTTACTAACGCTTCGATTAATAAATCCCAGTGTCCTATTTGCCTTATTACAAACATTTATGCATGATCTTTTGATTTTAAATTCTTAATAATCATAACTCCCAGATCCCTTTCACAATCCGACTTCACAATCTCAACACCATCTAGCTTGTATCTTGTAACTATCATCATTACCTAGCCTCAAAACCTTACATTTGTCAGCATGAAACTGCATCTGCCAATCTTTTGACCATTTCAAAACCCTATTTAGATCTTCTTGAAGTGATATTTGGTCGTCTTTTTCACTTCACATCTTTTTCCATGTTTATTTCCCTCCCGATTTTTGTATCATCGGCAAATTTGCAAATGTTGCTGCTCAAACCTGTATCTAAATCATTTATATATATTATGAATAACAGAGGTCCCAGGATAGAGCCTTGAAGCACTCCACTTACAACATTTTCTCAGTCTGACTTAACCCCATTTATACTAACTCTGTTTCCTTTGGTACAGCCATGCCCTAATCCAACTTAATATAGCACCCCCAATACCATGAGCCTCTATCTTTTTAATCAATCTTTCATGTGGCACTGTATCAAAATCTTTGCTGAAGTCTAGGTACACAACATCACAAACCTTACCACTATCAACTGCCTCAAGTATGCTGGAATAAAATTATAGCAAATTTGTTAAACATGAATGGCCATTTGTAAAACCATGTTGTGAATCATTTATTAATTTATGTTTTTCAAGATGAAGACGAATGGTATTTGCAATTATCGATTCAAGTAACTTTCCCACAATAGACTAGGCTAATTGGCCGATAGTTTGAAGCAAGTGATGTATCTTCTTTCTTAAAAATTGGTACCACATTAGCAACCTTCCACGACTCTGGCACTCTGCCTGACTCTAATGATTTATTAAATATGGTAGACAATGGATCGCAAAGCTCCTATTTGCATTCTTTAAGCACCTTGGCAAACACTTTGTGTCTTCACTATGGCAAACACAAAGCCCTGGGGGATTTGTTTAATAACATCATCCCTGGTAACTGTTAAACTAGTCAACCTGTCCTCATCCACATAGACTTGTTCGGCTGAAGGAATAGTCAAGTTGTTCTTTAGTAAATACAGAGACAAAATATTTATTAAAAATACAGTACTACTCACCTCTTCGTCATTATCCATTATCTGACCTGTCTCAGTTTTTAATAGACCTATACTTTCCCTAATCTTTGTTCGTTATAATTGAAAAAACTTTAGGATTTGCCTTTGCTTGCCCTGCTATACGAACTTCATAGTTTCTTTTTTGGCCTCTTTATCTCTTTTTTTTTTTTTAACATTTCTAACCAGATGTACAAATTCTCGTTCTAAACTAACTTCCCCATTCTTTATCCTTTTGTACCAAGCTCTCTTTCTACCTATAAGGTTCTTCATATCTTTTGTTATCCATTTTGGGTCATTAGTATTTGATCTATTCAATTTGTATGCAGCTTAAAATACTAGATATTGTTGCACAAGCAGAGACAAAACTGGAAGATAACAATTTAAATGAACCATTTAAAGTTTCTACTGTATTAGAAACTTATCTTTTGTAACAGAGTGGTAGATGGTTGGGACAGGTAAAGTGAGAAGGCAGTGGAGGTCAAAACCGTCAGTAGTTTCAGTGTCATATGACAAAGAGTACTGGGAAGAGGGTACACCATGAGCATAGCTCTCATCCTGTAACTACATTTAGGTAATTACACTTAGGTAATAACATATTTTACAGTAAAATAAAACCCACATAAAATGAGGAAGACGTATATTTCTGAGCTACTGTATAAAATTCGGCTTTTCCCTAAGGTAAAATTTAAAAACAAAGCACAAAATTAAAAGAAACGAAGTGAGAGCCCACTCATGGTCAAATTAAAATTAAATGAATGAAAAAGATTATGGCACCTAACAAGTGGATTAACAGAGGCAACAGGATTGAGCATTTATATCTAAAAACACAGAATTACATCCAAAAAAAGCCTTAAAAAAGCAAGTAAAGTTCAGCTCCACATTAGGAGGGGGAACTATCATGATCAAATTAACAGAGAAAATAAGGTGTAAACACACTGAATATCCTTACAGCAGAGATCATTTTTAACTTAAAATTCCATCATGGAACTCTAGAACAATGTCAATACTGTACTTAATGTTAACTATGCAAAGTTAGGAAGCAAATATTTCTATATTCCTTGATCATATATTATTCTGTAAATATGAAAGTTCAGTTGGAATGTTTTATATACACCTGATTACAAATGATTACTTCATAGAGAATAAAGCTATTCCTTCACTCAAATTAATAAATTTTTTAAAATGAGATCACAAGAAAAATCTATTTAGGCATAAATGTGCATTGGAAGAGGATATTTAAATAACAGAAATTTAAAACTTTCTTACCAAAGCTGCCATATCATATAAAGTTTCCAGTTTACTCCATATAGTCCGTGTTGAGAGCTCGCAGTTCAGGGAGGAGCTGAGCTTGTTATGGATAAACATCATTTGGAAGTGTTTATTCACACCTGTGGAGTAAATCTTGTTACTGAATTTGTATTACCTGTATTTTCAATCACAGCATTACTATTCCTTATATATCTTAAGTGAAAATATTTACTGGGAGAAAATACTTATTTTTCTGAGTTAATGACCTCCAATTTTGTCTAGTGTATGTAATTACCAAAGAGTAGTTACAGGAAGAGCGCTACGCTCGTGGTGTCCTGTCTTCCCAGCACTGTCATAACACTTTGAAATTACTGTGTTGACAGTTTTTGCCTCCACCACCTTCTCACCTAACTTGTTCCAACCGTCTATCATTCTGTTTGTGAAAGTAAATCTTCTTATATAGTATTTCTTTGGCAGCGTTGTTTAATTAGTTTAAATCTATGACCTCTTGTTCTTAAAGTTCCAGGTTTCAGCAATTCTTTCCTATCAATTTTATTGATTCCCGTTACTATTTTGTACGTAGTGACCATATCGCCTCTTTTTCTTCCATCTTCTAGTTTTCACCTATTTAATGCCACTAACCTCTCCTCATAGCTCTTGTCCTTCAGTTCTGGGAGCCATTGAGTTGCATGTCTTTGCACCTTTTCCAGTTTATTGATATACTTCTTAAGATATGGGCATCATACAACTGCTGCATATTCCATGTTTGGTCTAACAAAAGTCGTGAACAATTTCTTTTGTATTTTGCCATCCATGAATTGAAAAGTAAATCTGAAGTTATAAAGTGTAGCATAGGCTGCAACCTATGCACCTTGCAACCTGTCATAAAAAATGACAGGTTGGATAACAAGAACCTTTCACACAAAAGATGCTATACCGATGATGATACTTTTCAAGACGCTAGTGCTCTCTAGAGTGGAGTACTGCTGCACAATGACAGCCCCTTTCAAAGCTGGAGAAATTGCTGACCTGGAGATTGTGCAGAGATCCTTTACTGCTAAAATCCACTCAGTAAAACATCTAAACTACTGGGACTGACTAAAGAGCCTAAACCTGTATTCTCTTGAGCGCAGGGGGGAGAGATACATAATAATCTACTGTATACGTGGAAATTAGTAGAGGAGCTGGTCCCAAACCTGCACACAGAAATAACATCACATGAGACCAGAAGGCATGGTAGGATGTGCAGAATACCCCTATTGAAAAGCAGAGGTGCAACAGATACTTTGAGAGAGAACTCTATCAACATCAGAGGCCCGAGGCTGTTCAACATACTTCCACTTCACATAAGGGGTATAACTGACCGACCCCTCACAGTATGCAAGAGAGAACTCGATAAGCACCTCCAAAGGATACCTGATCAACCAGGCTGTGATTCATACGTCAGGCTGCGAGCAGCCGCATCAAGCAGCATGGTTGACCAGTCCAGCAACTAGGAGGCCTGGCGGGGACGCTAAGCCCCGGAAACACCTCAAGGTAATTTCAGGGCAAGGTAGGCTCCTCGCTCGATGTTCTTTATGTGGTCCTCAGGTGATAGTTTTCAATTTAGAACCACTGCTAGATCTCTTTCTTTACCAGAATTCTTTAACCCTTAGACTGCGCAGTACATACATAAATATATGATTTGATAAAAAATAATTTAACATAAGTTTTCAAAACTTGCACAAACACTTTCCATTTTTTTTGCATAATCAACTAGACAAATGCTCCAACTCTGTCTAAATGATCACAGCATAACTTGAAAAACAAGAAAATCAAAATTAATTTTTAAATTGAATATTGAAAATTTTACATTTTCAATTCAGAATAGAAAATATGAACTATCACCAATTGATCATTTAAAGTTATTATTCTCTCAGAATAGCATATGATTTTCATTTTCATCAAATTACAATATAGGTTTTCAGTATAGTTTACTGTAAAAAAAAATCGTCAATAGGGCATTTGAAATATGCGGCAAATTTAGACCCCAAAAAATTATAACTCCAAATGTATAAAGTTTATGAAAAATCCATTCTGAAGGGATTGTAGAACAGACAGCTGAGCACACAATATGTCAAAATAGTGAGAATTGGTCAAAAACTGGAATTTTAGAAGCCACTCAAGTTGTAACTTGTCAAGTTACAACTTGTAAAGTTGTAACTCTGGTTTCAGAGATAATTGAAGTTGAAGTTATCAGCAATGAAAAGATAGTTTTAATTCGTTAATTTAATTGTATGTTTTAATAAATATTGCTTGGCATTTGTACTCGAATATGTGAAAGTTGTAGGTCAATATGTGTTGAAATGAAGTCAAGAAAAAAATAACCCCAAAAAACCCAGCGGTGAATGTAATGAAATGCCATTTTCTGGGTGTGACCTGGAGGCTCCCCAGAGCTTACTAAGCTGATATGCTGATGTCAGACTTTGGTATCAGTCATGTGTATGGAGTTCTGTGGGCCTACTGGGGACCATGAGCCAGAACCTGGCCCCCTCAGAGAGGCATGGGGAGCAATGGCCTATAGAAACCCCCATGTGGTTGGAAGCATTCTATGTCTGCCATCGACCGGATCTGGCACCCAGAAAGGTAAGCATCCCAAAACAAACCCCTATTCTGGAGAAAAAATTGCTACAAAAGCCGAACAAGTGGATAGAACTCCCCTAAAAGAAACGATCAAACGAGCATGACGTAACACGTCGCCGCACCTCTGTCTGTGCAACTCCCCCCTCCCTGGGAGGGGGGTAGGGAGAGCCACCAGATCCCCCATGCCAGCTATCCATCCATCAGTTCTGAGACTGGATGTCAAAGCATGCGAAAAACTTCCAAATGGAGGGAGGGAGGGATGCCGGGGAGCCTCCTGGTCTCACCCAGAAAATGGCGTTTCATTACATTCAGCACTGGTTTTCTGGGGAGGGAGCCCCATCGGCTCCCCGGAATTAACTACCCACAGAGGAAAACAATAGGGACTTACCCGGGAGGCGATCGCTGCTAACTCCTCAACTCGAAGTCGAGACAACTGGCTGCAAGCGCCGACCCAAAGTGACACAGGCCCGACTGGGCTCTGTAACGTTCACGAGGTAACGAGCAGTCAAGACCCTGTTCGACCGCCAAAAGCCCCTGTCCCAGAATGTTAGCCCAGGACATGTTGCCAAAGACTGCAGCAAGAGCAGCAAACTTACGAACGTCATGGGCACGGGAATAGACCGCAGGCTGGCTAACCTTAATAACTCTGCGGATGACCTGGGAGACCCGCATCCGCGGACAGGGAAGAAGGGAAACTGGATCAACCCAAAGCGTGTCCCCGGACACAGAAGCCATGGCGGGCAAATAATGGTGAAGGGCCACAACCGAACACAAAACATGATGCACCCCCGGCCGAACCAACCAAGCATCAACAACCCAGGGACCCCTCCGGAAAGCAGCAGTCTCATTCTTTGCCAGAAAACAAGGAGACGGCTGCAGATGAACAAAACCATCACGAAGACTGAAAGAGCAGAAACCCCCTTTGCTGGAGGAGAGCATGAAGCTCCCCAACCTGACTCCCAGAGGCCATGGCCAACAGAAAAAGAGCCTTCGAGAAGCAATCCTGAACCGAAGGGGCCACAACAAACCGAGAAGAAGAAAGAAAGGAGAGCACTCTGTCCAACGACCAGGATGGCTCTGGTGGCGCATGAGCAGGCCGGAGGTGAAACAACGCATGAGACAGCTTGCGAAACGGCGCAGAAGTAACAACAATACCGAAAGCAAGCTGACGCGGCTCCGCCAGCACCGCATGATACGAGGCGACAGTGTTAGGCATAAGATGATGGTCCTGAAACAACAGAGAAAGGACAACACGACCCTAACAGAAAGCGAAGTACAACAACGAAGACATAAAAAGAACCTGAAGGACCGCCAGGAAACTTCATACTGCCATCAAGATGAAGCCCATAGGTGGGACACTAACAAGGAAGCCACCTGATCACCATAAAGATGATGATAAACTCGAGTCAAAAAGACAATACGCGAAGACTCGAAGAGAAGGTTGAACCATCCACGTGATGCTCAGGTTCGATCTGCTGGAAGAGGCAGAGCCGCGGGTAAACCTCCAGGTTCGGACAGGTTTTTATATACAGTATATATATATATATATATATATATATATATATATATATATATATATATTTGGAATCCCTGAATCCAGAGGTGGTACCCTTTCTATATACTGTGTGTGTGTGTGTGTGTGTGTGTATATATATATATATATATATATATATATACACACACACACACACACACACACACACACACACACACACACACACACACACACACACACACACACACACACACACACACACACACAGAGTGGCACCACGACATACGATTGCTCCTACTTACGATAATTTCGAGTTACGATGTAAATTTCATCGAAAAATGCGACTCGACATCCGATGGTGTCGTCGACTTCTGATATTTGTTGGTACACGTTCGGGTCGACCGAGCGGGTGGTTCCCAGTCATGTGGTCCGACCTGCCTCAGTTTACTACAGCTGCCCACTTAGTGACGATCGCGCCTATAAGAAATTCCGCGTTTGTGGTGATTTTTTGCATTTTGAACATTAAAGCAATTATTATATATCACGTCATGAGTCCCAGGAAAGTCAGTGGTAAGGATCAACATATGAAAACCCATGTAAGGATGACCATAGAGCAGAAACAAGAGTACAGAATGTCTCTTCCTCAACAATTAAGAAAATGTGTGCAGCATGGGAAGAATTGCAAACTTTGCTGAAACGACTCACCCAAATCAAGCTGCAGTAGGCCATTGTCTTAACCTATTCAATGACACTGTGATGCATCATTACAGACAAATGTTAAAACGAAGGGAAAAACAAATGTCTCTTGACAAATTTGTAGTGAGACAAACAAGCATTGAACCACAACCAGGTCCTAGTGGTATTCAGGCAAAATGTAGGAGAGAGAGTACCCCAGAGAAAACATCACTGCCTGATGTGATAATGGAAGGGAACTCCCCTTCCAAACAGGAACAACTCTCCTCCTCCCAACTCATCACCATCTTCCATACACCATCAAGAGCCCTCCATAAAGGTAAGATCAACTTAGGTACTGTATTGTAGTTAGAAAAAAACATTGTACTCAGTATAAAATGTATTTGTATGTTAATATTTGGAGGGTGGGGAATGGATTAATTCAATTCCCTTTATTTCTTATGGGAAAAATTGCTTCGACTTACGATATTTCGAGTTACGATCCGTCTTTGGAAACGGATTAGCATCGTAAGTCGAGGCCCCATTGCATAATAAGAATATTTCCAATAAACTAATTGGCAAAAATTGATTGAAAATAAAGAAAATCACTCGGCCTATTAGGCAAATCGGACCTTGCATAGTAGGACGAGAAGTGCGTTCTGGCTACTAGGTATGACATTTTATATTATATATATTATATATATTATATATATATATATATATATATATATATATATATATATATATATATATATATATATATATATGTGACTACATATTCTGCATTGATTATTTTCTTGTTTAGGGTTTCTATCCCTCTGACTAGTGTTCTAGCATCTTGGTTTAACTGGAAGAGGAGTTCTCCAAAGGTCATCTTTGTTCAAGGTGAAGAAAAATAAATAAATAAATAACTGTAGAATGTATTACACATATTATAAAAGTTACACAGCATTTCGAATCTACATGGTTCATTCCCAAGTGATAAGAAAATATCACTTGAATACAGTATCAAAATCTAACATGCCTAGTATTTTCTTATCACTTGAGAATGAACCATGTAGGTTTGACACATTGTGTAAATTTAAATTTATAAATTTATATACTTTGTACATTTGGATTACCATATCCCAGTATGGAGACCTCATCTTTAGAAGGACAAAGCAGCTCTGGAGAAGGTGCAACCCAGGAAAAAAAAAATCATTCCAGTGCTAAGTCAACTCACGTATCAGGAACGGTAGAGGGCCACAGGGCTAACAACACTGCAAACCAGGCATGACAAGGCGGATCTCATTGAAACTTAAAATACTAAACAATTTGGAGGATGTTGACCCAGAAAATTTCTTCAGAAGGTCAGATGTAACACAAACAAGGAGCAACGGTTTCAAGCTCAACAAGCCACAGTGTAGGACTGAGAACAGGAGATGCTTTTTCACCCACAGGGCTATAAACCCATGGAACCGCCTACCTGTCGAAGCTGTAAATGCCAAAATTCTGTTGGGTTTTAAAGTACAGCTGGGAAAAGATCATCAGGGCAAATGGGGGGACCTTCGACAAGTCCCAAGTTTCCTGTCCTCGTCGAGGCCACCGGTGTTAGTGGCTCTCAGGTAAACTCAGGTAAAATGCAACAGTAATTTGGAAGGAATCGAAATAACTCATCATTTCAAGGGTCTGCAGACTAGTATTTTTTTCATTTAAAAATAAGCATATACCAGAAGTGGAGTAAATGTGATTCTACTATATTCTGTACCGACAACAAACTGGTAATAATATTTAGTTGTGGGGAGTGTGCAGGCTGGAGCCCCCGACGATGGCTCCACGGCAGGGTGGCGAGGACCTACCCTAGGGTGCAGTGATGCCACGATAATAAACGAAAAGGAACCACGCACAAAACTAACCCACTGGTTTGTGGCCCATCATGGCATAAAAGAGCTGGATCTCATTTTCCACATTCCATTCAATTTCAGTCATTTTCTTCACTATAACACCAACCACCAGTAGCGGTGTTGTGGTGGCGGCGGCGGCGGTGGCAGCGCACAAACTATCGTACTCCGGCCCACAATTTGTTGTGCTCACACGCTCTGTCACACCAATAACTTTCCTTTCTCACTGTTACGCTTACCTTCCTTGAAGTATATAGCTATAATTTAAAGCATGAAGGAAAATTCTAGGTTTTATATCAGATGAAAATGCTTTCACATTAGATTAATAATTGAAAGTTTTCGTACATCTGACAGGACGTCCAGTGTTTACTCCAGAAGAAAACAAGTTGGTTAGTATAGAAGACGGATCGCACACATATTTTTACCATTTCGTCTAAAAGATTTGTACGTTCCGAATACAAATTATGTACACTACGCCTCTGTAACCCTTTCCACTGCCGCCCACAAGATGGGTATGGAGTGCATAATAAATGAAGTAAACTAAACTACGGTAGTGACTTAGTTATTGTAATCTATCCACCGCTTTCCACTGGATAGGGGTGGGGGGGGGCGGTGTTTAGGATATCGGGTCAGATTTCGGGTCAGCGTATGGACACGTCCCTGGTACCTAATTTTTTTTTTATATAAATTTTTGCCCTTAGGGGCGAGTTTATTAGGCAGCGCCACTCATCCTGTGAGTGGTCATACCGCCATAGTAGCATGTACAACACTCCCAATAGGAAGATAACCCGCTGGGTTGTTCATCCTGTCACTTGTACCAGACACAGCTGGTACCAGACACAGCTGGTACCAGACACAGGCTGGTACAGACTTGCTTAACTGTCTCAAGTGAACAGCTCCTCAAACAAGAAGATTAACATCTGTCAACCTTTAAAAGCTTACGTTATCTTGCGGGTGCAAAATGGGGGAATCTTTTAAGAACAATATCAATATTTGACAAATAGTGTTTTCCTAACTCAAACAATGTGGGGTTTATTATTCTGCACATATTTCTAATGTCTCTCAGGTGTTCACATTCATGTAGATAGTCAAGGCGGTGTCCGTCACTCTCATCACAGATTCTGCAACTTCGTTGATCAACTGTTGTTTCCATTCCGAATCGCCATGGATATTTGTATCCAAGACGGATTCTCGCTATTACTGACTCTCTCCCGCGTCCTCCTCCTCTTCGTCCATAATGACTGGGATTGCCAGCTGCAACCATATTGTATCATCGTACAGATTCACTGGTTTGTGCTTCTATTTTCCTTTCCTCAGTTACAGTGTCACGGTGATATTGCCTGACAATACCTCTAATTTGTAGAAGAGTCTTGGGTATGAAGTATTCAATATGGTCTCATTCAGCGCCTTCAGCAGCCAGCACATCTGCTCGTTCATTCCCACATATTCCAGCATGGGAGGGGATCCACAGAAACTAGATGATTCTTCCCTGATTGGTAAGTCCTCCCACGGCTCTCTTAATTTCAACGACTATTACAAGATTTTCTGTCCGATTTTTACTTAGGCTTTGTGCTACTTTTGAATCAGTGTAAATCACTGCACCATTAGTGTTCCGTTCAAGAAATCTTAACGCCATAACAATGGCAGTTAGCTCTGCTTGCGTTGAAGAGGCATGTACAACACTCCCTAATAGGAAGAAATCCAGCTGGGTTGTTCATCCTGTCACTTGTACCCAGACACAGCTGGGATTTGCTTAACTGTCTCAAGTGAACAGCTTATCAAACAAATAGATTAACATTCGCCAACCCTTAAAATCTTACGTTCTCTTGCGGGGTGCAAAATGGGGGAATCTTTTAAGAACAGTATCAATATTTGACAAATAGTGTTTTTCCTAACTCAAACAATGTGGGGTTTATTATTCTACACATATTTCTAATGACTCTTAGATGTCCACAATCTCTCAGGTAGTGGTCAAGGCGGTGTCCATCACTCTCACCGCAGATTCTGCAACTCCTCTGCTCAACTGTTGTTTTTATTCCGAATCTCCATGGATATTTGAATCCAAGACGGATTCTTGTTATTACTGATTCTCTCCCGCGGCCATCTCCTCTTCGTCCATAATGATTGGGATTGCCAGCTGCAACCATGTTGTAGCAGCGTATAGATTCACTGAGTTGTTCTTCTATCCTCCTTTCCTCAGCAACCTTGTCACGGTAATATTGCTTGATGATACCTCTAATTTGTAGCGGAGTCTTGGGTATGAAGTACTCAATGTGGTCTCCTTCAACATACAGCACATCTGCTCGTTCATTCTCACATATTTCAACATGGGAGGGGATCCACAGAAATTTGACGACTCTTCCTTGATTGGTTGACGACTTCCTTCCTTGATTGACTCCCACAGCCCTTTTGATCTCAGCGGCTATCACAAAATTCAAATTCAAATGTTTATTCAGGTAAAGTACATACATACAAGGTGTGATACAAACACTGATGGATTTATAGATAGAGCTCGTACATACAATGCCTAGAGCCACTATGACGCAAAGCGTTTCGGGCAGGAAAAACACTAAAGACTAAAACTTAATACTAATTGAGATTAAAGTATAAATTGTGTTGAGAACATATACAAATAAAAAAGGGGGAACATGGCAGAAAAATAGCAAAAATACAATTTGATCGACAAAGAGCATTGTTTAAAAAATAGCAGACATGGGTTGACATTTTAGGAGTAAGGTAAGCTACATGGAGTTAATTAGGTAGTGCTTTGATCTTAAACTGGTTGAGAGAGGTACAGTCTTTAACAAGATTGGGAAGGTCATTCCACATTTTGGGTCCCTTGATTTGTAGAGCATTTCTAGTTTGATTAAGTCGTACTCTTGGAATATCAAAAAGGTATTTGTTTCTGGTGTGGTGCTCATGGGTTCTGTTACAACCTTCAAGGAAGCTTTTAAGGTCACGATTGACATTACAGTTCAGCGTTTATATATATATATATATATATATATATATATATATATATATATATATATATATATATATATATATATATATATATATATGTCGTACCTAGTAGCCAGAACTCACTTCTCAGCCTACTATTCAAGGCCCGATTTGCCTAATAAGCCAAGTTTTCCTGAATTAATATATTTACTATAATTTTTTTCTTATGAAATGATAAAGCAACCCTTTTCTCTATGTATGAGGTCAATTTTTTTTTATTGGAGTTAAAATTAACGTAGATATATGACCGAACCTAACCAACCCTACCTAACCTAACCTAACCTATATTTATAGGTAAGGTTAGGTTAGGTAGCCAAAAAAAGCTAGGTTAGGTTAGGTAGGTTAGGTAGACGAAAAAAACATTAATTCATGAAAACTTGGCTTATTAGGCAAATCGGGCCTTGCATAGTAGGCTGAGAAGTGCGTTCTGGCTATTAGGTACGACATATATATATATATATATATATATATATATATATATATATATATATATATATATATATATATATATATATAACTGAAAACTCACACCCCAGAAGTGACTCGAACCCATACTCCCACAACTGGTATGTACAGGGACGCCTTAATCCGCTTGACCATCACGACCGGACATAAGGAAGTGATAGCCGAGGCTATATGAACCACTTCCCCGCCGGCACTCGGATGGTAATCTTGGGCATAGCATTTTATCAAATCACCTCATTTTTTGGGGCACACGTGAGGAACACAAATGCAAACAAGCCTGAATGGTCCCCAGGACTATATACAACTATATACAGGCTTGTTTGCATTTGTGTTCCTCACGTGTGCCCCAAAGAATGAGGTGATTTGATAAAATGCTATGCCCAAGATTACCATCCGAGTGCCGGCGGGGAAGTGGTTCATATAGCCTCGGCTATCACTTCCTTATGTCCGGTCGTGATGGTCAAGCGGATTAAGGCGTCCCTGTACATACCAGTTGTGGGAGTATGGGTTCGAGTCACTTCTGGGGTGTGAGTTTTCAGTTGTATATAGTCCTGGGGACCATTCAGGCTTGTTTGCATTTGTGTTCCTCACGTGTGCCCCAAAGAATGAGGTGATTTGATAAAATGCTATGCCCAAGATTACCATCCGAGTGCCGGCGGGGAAGTGGTTCATATAGCCTCGGCTATCACTTCCTTATGTCCGGTCGTGATGGTCAAGCGGATTAAGGCGTCCCTGTACATACCAGTTGTGGGAGTATGGGTTCGAGTCACTTCTGGGGTGTGAGTTTTCAGTTGTATATAGTCCTGGGGACCATTCAGGCTTGTTTGCATTTGTGTTCCTCACGTGTGCCCCAAAGAATGAGGTGATTTGATAAAATGCTATGCCCAAGATTACCATCCGAGTGCCGGCGGGGAAGTGGTTCATATAGCCTCGGCTATCACTTCCTTATGTCCGGTCGTGATGGTCAAGCGGATTAAGGCGTCCCTGTACATACCAGTTGTGGGAGTATGGGTTCGAGTCACTTCTGGGGTGTGAGTTTTCAGTTGTATATAGTCCTGGGGACCATTCAGGCTTGTTTGCATATATATATAAATATATATATATATATATATATATATATATATATATATATATATATATTGTGACGGTAACGCGTTGGTGTTCGGCTGTTTAAGGCTAGGGGTATGGCCTCGTCACATAGTTATAAAAAAAAATAGAAAAACTGGAACTTCGTCTGTGGTAAGGTAAGGAGAAGACACACAAAACACAAGTAAACTTTAACAATGAAATTTTAATTACGTTAAATAAATCAAAACATGAAAATAATGCACAAACAAATTCTTATAATAAAATCAATCAAAATAATAAGAATACTTAAATGACACAATGAAAAGTTACGTTAAGGCAAAATAACAAGAAGTGCAACACAAAGGTAAGTGGGAGGTGCTGGAATATTGGCTTAAAGCCACCACCTCTCTCAGTACACGCTAACGTCTAGCTGGGAGGAGTGCTGGCTACGAAAGCACTGAACATTCTGAGGACTGATGTTGGGGCGACCCCAGACATCAGGTAGTATTGGGGGGGGCGAGGCAGGTGCAGCCAGACCGGCGACCAATCAGCGGAGCCGTAGCGATCAACGGGTAGTTTGGTGGTTGGAGTTCGAACAGGTGGCTGGCTGCATACGTTTTGC